AGGCTGAGTCAACCCTGAGCCGGTGAGATTTGAACCGCTGAACTGCTGATCTAGCAGTAGCCTGCAGTGCTGCATTTAACCACTGCGCCACCTCGGATACATTGATGAATGTATCTTCTCTTTTTATGGACACTGAGAGCAGATGCACCAAAGACAAATTCCTTATGTGTTTAATCACACTTGGCTAATAAAAGAATTCAATTCAATTCAATTCTATTCTATTCTATTCTTACAAGTTCAGTTGTAGGAAAGCTAGCATTCCTATAACTAACATGTTAAATTTAATATGAAATCCAGCACTGCCAAGTCAGAGGAAGCTCCAAAGAAATTTTTTAAAAAATGTAATATGCATATACTTTACCCCTTGAGCCACACACAAAGGATATTATTCAAGGTATTGTCTTGTTCAACTTATTTTCCAACTTATTTTCCCAGTTATTCTGTATATATTTAACTTAAAAGAACTGTGTGTGTGTGTGGGGGGGGGGACAAGAACATACAGGCAATCCCTGATTTACAATCACAATTGAGCCAAGAATTTCTGTTGTTAAGCGAGATGTTTGTTAAGTGAATCATTGCATTTATTAAGTTAGTAACATGGTTGTTAAGTGAACCCGGCTTCCCCACTAACTTTGCTGGTTAAGAAGGTCACAAAACGTGATCACATGACCTCAGGACACTGCAATCGTCATAAATATGAGTCAATTGTCAAGCGTCTGAATTTTGCTCATGTAACCATAGGGATGCTGCAACGGTCATAAGTGTGAAAAATGTTCACAAGTCCTTTCCCCCAGTGCCATTGTAATTTTGAATGGTAATTAAATGAACTGTTGTAAATCGAGGACGACCTGTATATATCTAACCTATAGCCCAGAATCTTTAAAGAGATAAAAGCACTCCGTTATTTCAACTCTGAGGAGGACTACACCTTTATTATGAAAGCAATTATTTGCACTGCTTTCGTAATGAAGTTGTATGTTCTAATTATATTTCCACAACCTCCTGTTTGGAAATGTTATGTACTTTTCAAGAAATGCTGTCTAGCTCTTTGGGAGACTTAACTTCTAAAGGAGGACTGGATGGGGAAATTTTAGAGGCTGCACTTTATTAAAATTGCTAGCAGCTGTGCCATTATTAGGTAATTAATAGGGCATCAAATCTTAGAAGTAAAAAATATGTGAGGTAAAGGTTCCCCTTGCACATATGTGCTAGTCGTTCCTGACTCTAGGGGGCGGTGTCCATCTCTGCTTCAAAGCCAAAAAGCCAGTGCTGTCCGAAGACGTCTCTGTGGTCATGTGACTCAATGCCAAAGGCGCACGGAATGCTGTTACCTTCCCACCAAAGGTGGTTCCTATTTTTCTACTTGCATTTTTACCTGCTTTCAAACTGCTAGGTTGACAGAAGTTGGGACAAGGAACAGGAGCTCACTCGGTTATGTGGTGCTTGGGATTCGAACTGCCGAACTGCTGACCTTTCTGATCAACAAGCTCAGCATCTTAGCCACTGAGCATCCAAAAATATGAGAAGTTAGCAAAAAATACACCCCAGTTATGCTGACTACCTGTATAGGAAATCTATCATAAAAACTTTCTGAGAGATGGGGCAAGTTATTATTTTATTTTGTCCTCAAAATTTCCTTCTGTAGAGATGAAATGGTAGGACGGAGAGGCAAGGAAAGCTAAGCAACCTTGTCAAAGAGTCACAGAGGCTTGTCATAATATAATACAATACAATAGCAGAGTTGGAAGGGACCTTGGAGGTCTTCTAGTCCAACCCCCTGTCTAGACAGGAAACCCTATACTGTTCCAGACAAATGGTTATCCAACATCTTCTTAAAGACTTCCAGTGTTGGGGCATTCCCAACTTCTGGAGGCAAGCCATTTCCACTGATTAATTGTTCTAACTGTCAGGAAATTTCTCCTCAGTTCTAAGTTGCTTCTCTCCTTGATTAGTTTCCACCCATTGCTTCTTNGAGGTGGGTAAAATGAGGACCCAGACCGTAGGGGCGATATGCTGACTCTGTAAACCGCTTAGAGAGGGCTGAAAGCCCTATGAAGCGATATATAAGTCTAACTGCTATTGCTATTGCTACATTTCTCCCTTCCCCTTTCCCTCCCCTTTCCCCACCTACTATTTGCTTTTGTATTTTTGTATTTGTGAGCTTAAATGGACTCTGGGAGATGATATAGGACAGGATGGCCTGGAGGAATGTCGTCCATGGGGTTGTGATGGGTCGGACACGACTTCTCGACTAACAACAACAACAACACTCATAAACTAATAAAAAAAGAAAATTGAAACGCTAACGCAAACGTCTGGGAACTAGCTTATATTAATGTCTATTCATGAAAGTTAACCCAATGTTTTTAGACTCTCTATATAGATACAGTTCCGTTGGCCTTGGGAGTCACCCACCAGCCACTCCATCATTCAGACATGCAAGCCCACGATGCACAAGCAAGTTGCAAAGTTTGAATGACCACAAAGACATTTAGTGATTCTTGACTTTATTGGTCTATTTTTTTATTGATCAACCTTAAATCACTCTCTTAACCTAAACTGCTTTTGCCTTCTAGACATTGGGAAAACTATGAAACCCAATGCAATTAATTGGTCAATATATAACTGGAACAAGCAACCTACAAGTTATATGGATTTGAAACCAGTGGCAAATGCATTTTGTTTCTGAAACTTCTGTTTGATAGGCGGGGACATTTCCTTGTTTCTGCAAGAAGAATTCTGACATATTGAACAACATAAGGAAACAAAAAGCTTTTTGACACTGTGAACCATTTGGTAATCTGGATCACAAGAACATGATATGTTTATATTTTCTAGGCATACTAAAATGTGTGTGCGTGTGTGTGTGTGTGTGTGTGCACTTCTCATGAAACAAATCTGAACAGGTGATTATTCCTCTGTATCACTAGATGCGTGGATTTGGCTAACCTGGAGATTTCATTTTTCAACTATAGCTTTAAGAAGATTTAAGAAAACAATTGCTACCAACCTGCCTTCCATTGAGGACCTGTATACTGCACAAGTCAAAAAGAGGGCTGTGAAAATATTTACAAACCCCTCACAACCTGGACATAAATTGTTTCAACTTCTACCCTCAAAACGACGCTATATTGTACTGCACACCAAGACAACTAGACACAAAGACAGTTTTTCCACGAATGCCATCGCTCTGCTAAACAAATAATTCCCACAACACTGTCAAACCATTCACTAAGGCTCCATTACTATTAGTCTTCTCATCATATCCAGCTTGTATCCTTACGATTTATATTGATATTGTTTCCTGATTGCTTATTTGTACCCTATGACTATCATTAAGTGTTGTGCCTTATGATTCTTGATAGCAATAGCAATAGCAGTAGACTTATATACCGCTTCATAGGGCTTTCAGCCCTCTCTAAGCGGTTTACAGAG